AGATAATTTGGGAATTATCAGACTCCTAGGGTGAACCCGGCTGGAATGGGTCTACGCATATATTTGTAAAGAAATATTTAATGGAACGACTAACTCAATCTATATAATAATATTCTTTACTGAACTGACACATTTCAATTTCCTTTGTCTGTTTAATAATCTTTTATACAGAGTGAGTTAGTAGGCTACTTATTACACAGGCAGTTCTCAGAAAATATCATTGTCTTAAAGATAGGTTACCAGAAAAGTATTTATCGGGTGGTTATTTACAATAAAAGTATGGCAGTTTTATATGGAAAATAGAAATATCCAATCTTACTAGAAAAATATTGGATGTCCTGAAAAACACTCCTGGAGCGCATACAAGACAAAACTGTAAGGGTTTCCCTAATCGACAGCCCGACGAATAGGAGTGTCAAAGGTCGCACGTGGAGATTGAGCGCTTGATGTACATGTTGATAAACTTTATGAAAAGTTAGACGTACAACAGTTTCTGAGTTAAAAACCACAGAAAAAAAACTTGGGCAGTGGATAATCCGAGAATTATTTGTAATAAATAGTTAGCGATTAAAGACAACATCGTCTTGTGTATGCAATGAATTCTCCTCCGACTTCGTCCCCGTTGCTAGGTAGGCTACTGAGAGAGGTAAGTCGCGTGACACAAACATGACCTTTTTTGATCGATTTTTTTTTATAGTAAGGGTATTCCTTGGCAATTGCAATATTTTGAGAAGGATTTGAAGCAAAATTATGTTAAATTAATTCGTGTGAATATATATCATCAAATCACACCGTTTGTACGCGTAATGTATCTTAAAAGATGCAAAGTAGTGCTGCATCCCACGGCAGTGACAGACCCAGAGCGATTTCTCGTGTATCAAGATTGCCGACATACCATGAGTGGGCATTCCAAGCGCCCATAAGGCTGCTTTTATGGCTAGTGCACTTCCGACCTATAACCAGATTTGGGCCATTTGAGCGGACACGAGGGACAAATTGATGGACTAAGGTTACATTTTTGGCCCACCACTCAGTATCTAAAATAGCCCGCTGCAATAATTGAATTAACTATCATAAAGATGGTCGAGATACCCCTGTGCAAGGTAAAACGCACACCGTCATCATCTCGTTCATTCCCCACAGAAAGCCCTGCTGGTCGAAGAGGTTGGGGTACGGGGTTTGGGATTTCTGTTATAATTTTTTTTTAAAAAAATGGGAAAAAAAGATAAGTTGCCAGGCAACGAAACATACCCCCACAGCAGCTAAATAGTCCGAAGAGTCAACTAGAGTTGTTGTATATGTTTACTTTTGTCGGTAATGTAACAATTATAATACACTAAAATCTGATTAAGAGTAACAACTCATTAAGTAATTATCAGAAAATCATTAGAATTTGTTTAGCCCATGCTAACGTTTAGTATACAAAACATTTAATATCATGGATTTAGCTGTTGAAGTTATCAAAAATCATTAAAGATTAATACACATGTATTTGTTCGTCTGTGTATCAGCCTAAAGTCAATCGAAACGATTACATATAGGCGTAAACATGGTGTATAAATATTAAACCAATCAAATAATAATTTTGGGCTCTAGAGCGTCCACAAGATATGTATAAATTTAAAGTCAATCGGATATTAACATAAGCCTCTAGAGCATCCAGAAGCAATTGTGGATGGCGGGACTAACGGATGAACGCATGGGGTGACTAAAAAATACGACCACATTTCAATGTGGGCATATAAAAATGTTTACCGGTACTTTACACTTTATAAAGCCTTATTAATATGCGAAAAATCTTAAAAAGTGATCTTGACAAAATTGGTTATTTCTCAAGGGAAGATGTTAGAAACATTTTTTTTGATATCTATATGATCGTATTGATTCATATTATTTGTCCATTGAAATCAAATATCATAATTTTATACGAATAATGAATTTCGCTTAATTCAGAACAAATATTTGTTTTGGAGGCTAAGAATACCGATTTTGCCAAAATGACGAAAATGTTAATTAGTTTTATGAAATCGAAAACGTTATTAGGCATCACATGGTGAAATTTTTTTTATAAAAATCGAATAATAATTGACACTTTTATGGACCAAAATCCTTGAAAAGTGACTTGTAGAAAGTGAGAGTAAGAAATACAGTTTTTGTCAAAATGGCGTCACTTCCGGTGTCAATTTTAAATTGCAATCAGTTAGATATAACACATATTTGCTTTATGCATTAAATCGTATTTATTATTTCTGGAAATCCATTAATAATTGACCCCTTTACAGGCAAAATTACGTGATAAGTGACTTTAGTAGGAGCATTCATCTTGATCTATTAGATTTGTAAACATTATTATTTGCGTTTAAAAAGGCCTTCCGACCTGTCCAAATTGATGATTTGGGCAAAGTTCCGCCACTTCCGGTGCCGACAGAAAATGTTATCGGTCGAAAAAAGTTGGGAATTTGCACCGTGGAGCATATGAACATTCTTTTATACAAATCGGGCAATAAATAATCAACCTAGAACCCATAAACTGAAATTAAAATTCGAAAAGCCTGACAAAATTGGTTATCTATATGGCCGTATCATTTTTATTAATATGTTGATTTAAGCTAAAAGTTAAAACATTTAATACATATTAAATAATTCTTAGTTGAAAAAAATGGTAATTGTTATTGTAATCAATATAATATGATGCATATTTGCTTTTTGAATCAAATGGTGTCACTTTTATGAAAATCCAATAATAACTGACTATTTTACAGGAAATAAGCTGACTAAAGCAAAATTGCCTATTTCTAGGTAACTGCTTATATTACAAACTAATTTTAACATACATTTTCTTCGTTACGAAGTTACGAAAAAATATTTGAAAATCGTGTCCCAAAGCATCAACCGATCAAATTGCTTATCTCTGCTTACCCTTAGCAGAAAATTCTCATCTTCAAACTCCATCAACTCATTCGCGTAACAAACATCTACACCAAGTGTGAACATTGTTGCTCAATTAGAAGGAGGGTTATTGTTTTCCAAAGTATCGACTTGGTTATCGCTCTGCGTACCTGAGCAGAAAATGTTCATTATCGAACTTAGGCAAGGTATTGATGTAATGAACGTTTACACAAAGTTTAATCACTCTCACTTAATTGAACTCAAGTTATTGTGTCGCAAAGCATCAATCAATCATATTGTTTATCTCGCCTTACCCTCAGCAGAAAGTGCTCATCTTCGAACTCCATCAATGCATCGACCTAATAAACACCTACACCAAGTTTGAACATTCATCTCGATTTGGTAAGTTATTGTGTCCCAAAAAATGTGACGGACAGACAGACGGACGGACCCATTTTAAGAGTCCCCTACTTTCTTCGAAAGGCGGGAGACAACAAATACAATAGTGTTTCACACAAGCTACGCAGTGTGAAACCCTAATTAGTGGAAGTGGAAGTATCAAAGTACAATAACCCTCCGAAGGCAAATTGTACCACGGTAAATACAAGTAAATCAAAGTCTTTAGTTGAAGACTCCTTTGTGATTTAAAGTGAGTATTAAATATAGATTGATTTTATTTATATCCATTCGTCACAGAGATTAAAGATAATCACCGAAAGCGAGGACTCAACATCTTATCTGATTTGCTCCGTAATATTAACCAAAACGAGAAACGCCGAGAGAAAGAAACTAGTGCTATAATTTTCCAGTTGTTAAATATACCCCAATCATCAGTGTCGTGGTTATATGCAGGGTTTTATTCGAAAGTTGGCGACACTTACAATTTCTTCTGTGTTTTAAAATACAATAAATAAATAGACCAAACCAAATGATAAGACGGGCGTTTGAAGGGTCGCGAATACACCAAATGGGTTCTGGGCGTTTTCATCCGTTCTGCGGTTACAAACTATCAGGAGAATCATCTAATGGAGTTCTGAGGGGCGACATGGAATGAAATGCTGCACAAACAGGGCTAATGAAGACGGGATTGGTGGAATGAACCCATGTTCTCTTGACCTTATTCTGATTAATCCGTCCTGTATTTGATTACGTCCGTTACAGTAGCATTCGTTAATGAAACGGCTGTACCGTTTAGGTTTCGACGGGGAGGCTGTAAAGATCAAATATGGCGCATTCCGCTACCACACATCGGCCCAGAGCACCAGCATGACAGATTTAGACATTTCCTACTGCTCCTATATAATTTGAAAGGCATCTTACATTAATAACCTGGGTGTTGCGTCTTCGGGCATAAAATAGTTATTTGTCTTCCCTATGTGACTTGCTTCAGCTAGGTTAAATATATCGTCTGCATTCTCTTAAAGGACAATATTGGTGCCAGTCATTATCACATATGTGATAGAACTGGTTAAACACATTCCAAATATTATTTTATCACAGAGATCATTGCTACGATAGAGGCGTAATCAATGCTTCAACAATCGGAAATGGCGAACGAAAAAGGAAAATACGAGTTATACCTCTATATAAGTGACTGAAGTGACGAGTGATAACAGATACTCACTAATAATTCCTTCGAAGACCAAACGATGTTATATGAGACTGTAAGAGTATATCTGACAATTCAAAAAAGTAATTGAATGTCATTAGATAAGAGAACACGAATAAAATAGAAACAGTCCGTACATTCACGCGTGATATCCTTTCACAGTCTCACACAACAACTTTTGGTCTTCGAAGGAATTATTAGTGGGCAGAAATTCGCCCATGTACCTGTTATCACCCGTCACTTCCGATTGTTGAAACATTGATTCCACAGCTATCGTAGCAATGATCTCTGTGATAAAATAATATTTGGAATGTGTTTAACCAGTTCTATCACATATATGATAATGATTGGCACCAATATTGTCCTTTAAGGATACTTAGCAATACAATCAAAGCGGTGATCATAGTCAGCCGGTTTATATAACTCTTACCGGTGTCCAGTAATGGTTTATAGGTGACCATTATTCTGGGTTGGTACACGAACAAGGGTATTATATAACCAATTAACTGAACAGTAATTTTAATATTTTCTGTATTAGATATCATCAACTGGGAGTATAAATGTATTCTCCCAGAGATCAATGACATGAGGCTAGACGATTAAGTATAATAGTCATTTGTGAAAACAGGATACTTAATTAATAACAATGAAACATACACTATTAAACTTTTACAATACATAGAGGCATTTTACTTGTGACAAAATTATTTCTAATGATGCATGGGTCATGTAACATTTAATTTAATTGATGAAATATTAATTAAAGTGAATATGAATACAGATAACACCATTTTGCTTTTTCTAAATACAATCTGTTTAATTTATCTCATTATCAGTGGAATGTCAAGTCGTGGAATTTAGGAAACTGGTATAAAACAGTATTTTATAAAAGAAGACAAAAGTGTATTAGAAGTGTGCAACAAGTGTGACTGATGTACAATAACATATCAAATAAATATATGGTGCCAGGCAACTAAAATGCACCCACCAGCAGCCAAATTGTTGGTCGTTTTCGTAATGCTTTGAACTATTTCTCCAGAACTTTAAGCAATAATATCACTAGACCAATGGTTTACAGCATTGCACTTAGAGAAAGACTCTGAATTTCAAAAGGGTTCATTTGAAAAGTTTTATCAATGTGATGACACCAAAAACACAGTGTGTGTAATTACAAGCCAGGTATAACTGACAAATAACTGAACATGACTCTGAACCTTACTACTAACCAAACAATCTCTGTAAATTTGAAAAAGATATATCTCTGTGGATCCTTTACAAGGTTTTTGTTCACAGAGAAATATCTCTGAGAGTACTTGACACATGGTTTTGAATATCATTAATGTTTTTTCAAAGTTTGAAAACAAAAATCTCAACAAGCTGGATGAAGTGGGCAAGACAATATATGACATGTTATACAATGGATGAATAAAAAGAACTGTTAAAAACTTACACAAATTGAAATAAATTTATAGCAACTACAAATGTACTTTTTCTATTGAAATACATAAATTACTTAACCTTACACAGTTATGTTGTTACCAACATCAAAATATTTAACCTAACACAGTTCTGTTGTTACCAACATCAAAATATTTAACCTAACATAGTTCTGCTGTACCAACAAACAATTACAGTTTTTATCAACATACATACAGTAACAAGTTATTAATTTTCTTTATATATAAAAATAGTTCAAATACAGGTTCATATATCAGCTTTAAACTTTCTTGCAAAGTTTTCTCACAATTCCTGAAACTTTTGAGTTACTGTAATTCTGAGTTAATAATGTCCATTAGTTAATAGATGATTAAAATAAGAATTATTTGTGTAATATAATAATTAAGTTTGCAACACAATTATAAATATTTAAGGCTATTGTGATGGTTCTGAAGAGGCAGTGCCAAATTTTTATGTTATGAGACCTAATTATTTTGAAGACTGTATATTTGTAAACAGTATAATTTTTCCATGGGTTAGTCTTGCTACATTTAATTCCTACATTTCACTGAAACAAATTAATAATTAGTTTACTACTATTAATAAACATACTTAAATCTGCTTCAATTATACCATAATTTATTTTTCATTTTGAGCTATAACCGCTATGTAGTACAAGAATTTTTAGCTCTCTGATTAAAGGAGCAATGTAAAATACATTTTAGTGAATAAAACTGATTAATTCTGTGTGATAATTTCTTAAGAGATCTTTATCTGACTCCAATGCAACTTTCTTAAGCTATGACACTTTTTAAAAAGAAATACAAACTTGTAATTTCTAGTTGGTGTTGGCAATAAGTCACACAATTACTTGTTATATAAGTACTTGGATAACCATTTAATTATATCAAGAAACAGATGAAGTTTCTTAAAATGAGTTCAGTAAATCTAGCGATTTTTTCAGAAAGCTTCAGTATTTTGATTTTAAACTTTCATGATTTGTCTATTTAAATCTGTTATTTTACAACAGATACATTTCTGGAAGATGCCACACTATACAAAATACATAGTCCTAATTAAAATCATATGTTAATAGAGCACAGACAGTCTCACAAAATAAAAACCTGACAATGCCTCTAAGTGGAAGACCTATAAGAATGGAGGTGATCTATGTGTATATCTGAATAAACTATGAATCACCAATGTGAAAAAGATGAACAGTAATCACCAATGTGAAAAAGATGAAACAAACATTTCAAATTAATATGAAAAATGAATTTCATGCTCTCATTATAAGTTTGATACTTTAGATTAGGACAATTTGATAAAGATCTTTAAAATAACATCAAAGCCGACTGAAGACTGAAAACTGAATACTGTACTTCCTTAACAACAATACAATGATTACAAATACTAACAAAAACTTGATGACATAAATATGAAATAACACAAAATAAAAAATCAACAATATCACACTAAGAAGCTTTAACATTAAATAATATCATATTTACAAGCGATATATATTACAAATTATTATGGTTGAGTATAAAACAGTCAGAATTCAAATCATACAATTCTCTTTTTGAAAGTAAAAAGTTAGAAATGATGATAAGTGATATATAATTATAATGCTTTATTTCTAATTGCCAGAAAATTTATGAGTGATACTCTGCCCTTTAACAAGAACAAAAGTCATTATAATGTTTTCATACAGATGTTGTGTTTTTTTCCTCAATTTATTTCTCATTAGCATGATTAGTGTTCTCTTGTGTTCTCAGATTTTCCATCAAAATAATATCTGATCAGTGCTCTGGGTATAATTTATTTTGTTCCTGCTACTAGTCAAATGGAATTTGCAAAGTAATTTCTCCACTGTGAAAAATAAAAGATTTATGAAACAGCAATGGCATAACTCAACAAACAAAAAATGTGAATTAGAAGTTCAAATATATAACAAAAATCACAGATTTTGAAAGTCGTGATTCTCTTGTAATTTTGTTGTTGAATCTTTAAAATATTCATACAGTTCAAACATAAAGCACAGCATTACTAACCAAATATATTTAATTGCTGTTTTCAATTAAATTATTATAATTTTTCAGAGTTTCGAAATTCAAAACAAGGACAAAGTTAATAGTACGTTATTACAATTTGATTGAAATAAAGAATATATAGAGTATATAATGTTTTCTTAAATCCCTTATTATTATACATAATATTAAGCAACCATTGCATTTATCTTACTTGGTGCCCAAATCAAATATATCTCAATATTTGGTACGTATATAAATAATTTAAATAATTACAACCATAAACCCTGTAATAATAGTTTGCCAGGCAAAGAAACATACGCCCATAGCAGCTAAGTCGTAACTCTGGCAGTAATTATCAGAAATCGTTGAAAATGAAGAGGCTTCTTCGTCTCATGACCTTAAACATTGTGTAAATATAAAGTCAATCGAATACTAACTTTAGCCTCTAAAGCGCCCACAAGATATTTTAAAGTGATCAAGGGTCATAACTCTGGCAGTAATTATCGGAAATCGTTGAAAATGAATCGGCCTCTTCATCCCATGGCCCTAAACACTGTGTTTAAATTTAAAGTCAATCGGATATTAACTTTAGCCTATAGAGCATCCAAAAGCTGTTTTAGAGTGATCAATTGTCATAACTCAGGCAGTAATTATCAGAAATCGTTGAAAATCAAAGACTTCTTCGTCTCATGACCTTGAACAGTGTGTCTAAAAATAAATTTAACCTCTAAAATGTCCACAAGCTATTGTGGATGGCGGGACCAACGGATGAATGGATGGGGTGACCAAAAATATACGACCACATTTCAATGTGGGCATATAAAAACGTTTACCGGTACTTGTAGAAAAAAGGAAAGTTTACTGGTACTTGTAGTAAAAAAACAGTTTAGGAAAATTTGTATTTATAAAATCTCTGCGTAGTAAAATCAATTTAAGAATTTGTCATAAATGATACTAATATGATAAAAGATTATAATTGCTCATCTATGTAAATTTTTATGAAATAATAGCACATTATAAAGAAAAAAATATTTTGATTTAAAATATATTCAAAATAATTACAGCAAGCCACATTTTTTATAGAATAATAGCACAATTTTTTTTTGATTCAAATAATATGAACTGGATGATATATATTTTTTATCAATGAATGAACAAATAATATTGGCTTTTTTCCCCATGGAATATCAAACAAAAGTGTGGTACAGTTGTTATTCCAATACTTCTACTGGGGGAAAAAACCCCAGATTTTTATATTGTAAATGAACTACGGTAAATGTCATGTAATAAAAAGAGCAACAACATATGGAATAGTAATTCTTTTTTGTTAATGTTGTGTATGGATAGTCAATTAATAATCAGAGAAAGATTTAACGCCTCACCAATGGTCCAAACCAATTCCAATTCCCATCGGTGGTGTTCAATTATTTATGGACCCGACCCATGGTCTATGCCATTTGTTTCATTACAAAAAACAAATTTTGCTTGTTACTCAGTTTGTATTTTATATGAATTGTTATAGCTACCTTAGAACTTTTTCAGAAGTTTTAAACCATTTCAGAAGTTTTAAACTTTTTCTTAAAAAGGCATTATTTAAGAGCTAAATCTGCTTTTTGCAGGTCGTTCTTTCGGCCTTAAATGTTATATAAATTATTAATATTAGACTTTTATTAACACAAGAAGACCATAATCAACTCTCGATGCCATCAAATGGCTCTGATTTTAAGTAGATTAGAATGATTCGGCCATTTAATGATTTAATTATGATAATAAACAATCAATGCACACATCTTGTCCAAACTACAAATTTGGATAACTTCGCTCAAGTAAAGTAATCTGAATGAAATATTTTCAATATATTCATTTTGCATTATCTATTTTTGAACTATTAAAGCAAGATCTGCCACTTCTTTATCCAAATCTTACATAACGTATCTTTAATAAAATAAAATAGACAAGTTTTTCGCAAATACAGATAAATGCAACAAATATATCTTTATGGGAAATAAATGTCAAAAATATATCAGTTATTATTTCGCTGCAAGCGATAACATGGTACATGTCAATCAGATTGGGGGAATTCCAAACCTGGACCCAACTTGGGGTATTACCCCATTGTCCGTTTTAAATCCTTTCGTTTTTAATTATACAAAATTACTAATTAATCAACAGTAAAACATACAAATTTCACCAAATTGTAGTGTTAAATATTTAAGATAATCTAAATTAAAACAATGAGATATGAAATTATGGCTGATATTACCAATATATAGAATAGTCTGATATCAGATGAAATAATATAATATTCTATATATGAAACATGACAGCTTGAGTCTTATTATTAAAGTTAATGAGGTTATATGAGCTGTATAATACTAGACGTTTCCAATGTCTATAGAATAAAATAGTTATTGGAAACATCAGTCTTTAATTACAGATGAATATTAACCTCTTTACAGTACAATAACTGATACAATCCTCATCATAAATCAATGGTTATTTAATGCCAACTGATCATCTTCGTTATTAAATGAAATATATCTACTACACAACAAAATAACTTGCTGTTCATTTTGAGTCAAATCACAATTTTTATCACATCAAACTCTTCTTGTACATTGGTTAACATTTCGACCACTTTGTGCATGACCAATCAACTTCACTTTGAAATCTGTAGCTAGTGTTATATCTTTAATGCAGCCAGTATATCCAGTTGTAAATTTTCCTAGGGTTTTTTCAGCTACATCGGTCATTCCACCTAAAAATGGACAAAAATGGAAATAACCATTTGAACCTCAACAAAGTAACATAACAGATTTCCATAATTTTTGGGCCCTCTAGAGATCTTAAAGATATTAACATTTTATTTCTTAAAAGAAAAAAAATTAATGTTGTGTTGTAAAGTGTGAGTTTCATCATTGTTGCAATGAAATGTGTTTTTAACATCCTACTGTTTTGTACTGATCAGGTTAATAAGACAAACATGTCATGTAGCAAGCTATAAGGTAAATAGTAGTTGGACAGAAGCTATTCTCTCTATTCTTAATAAATTCCAATCAAATGTTCTTTTATCTGCTTATCAACAAGCACATAGGGATGGGCCGTGTTTTTTCATTCCAGATTCTTTTTCCTTTCCTGAACCAGGAGGAACTTTCTTGGCCAACAGTGGTATCGAACCAGGACTTCGTGATAAGTAAGTCAGAGTCACCATATGTTTTAAACATGCATACAATTGCTTGCATAAAGTGCACATAAGATGGGCCTGGAAACTTTGAGATACGTGTAGCCAATGGTTACTATATCCACTTTACAGCAAGTTCATGCCAATCTGGTTGAAATTAATTCAGTTATCTTCACTCAAAGTCGTAAAAATAGACCTTCTGTAAAAACGTCTTAGCCAATTATCGAAAACACTCTTAATCCCCTCAGACGCCAGTGACGTAACAGTGACTAAATGCATATTCGGAATGTTTATTCCTTAATTACCTATATACAGCCTACAGCCAACGTGTTTATTCTTTAATGCCTGAAGGATTCCTTAATCCCCCTAATTAAATAAAACAATTGACTACGGAATAATTTGTTTTGTAATTCATTTTAATTTAAGATCCAATTTAATGTGCCTACAACTTTTAAACTTTGAAGTCTTGAACTCTTAATTAATTTTTTACAATTTGGAACTTATTGGACGAACACTTTTAATATGTAAATATTATACGGGTCCAGCTATGTGGTTTTTACTGCGAGCACTTCGCTTTTCCACATAAAGTGTAGTGTCGTTAATATCTGTCATTAATTAATCAATCCGACTATAAAAGTTATACAGGCATGGGTCATAAACTAATTTACACGTTGGTGTTAGCAGTGAGTGTTAGTGGGATTAAGAATGTTGATTAGGTAATTATCTTTTTTTATGCCGGCCAGATCAAAGACATCACTCTTAGTTGAACGTGTGCGTAATACCTCACGAACGAACTAATGGTAGAATCATACACACACACATTAATTGTATAAAATAATTAAGTTTTACTAATAAGTTGTTTAAAATTGCAGAACAGTAGGACGTTAAACTCCATTTCATTTCATTTCATTTTGTTTAAAATTACTATATACCCAATAATTATTGCTCACCGGTGTTTTTGTAATCAAGTAGCCTCGTATTATTTGTTGATTGGCGTTTAAACAACATTTAATATGTCTAACATCGGTTATCTTTTTTATAATAAAAGTATTTTACAATTGCATTGACAGTTACTTTAATCACTCACCAAATGGCACCAGGAACTCCTCGAATGATCCCGTGCAATTTTCGCGGTGAAGTTTAACCTCATTTACTACACCCGTAGTACATGGATTGGTACATGATAATAAGATACCAAGCGTTGATTGGCAGAGAAATGAGTGCGATCTATTGTACATGCATAGTCATCGGAAAATTCTATATTCACTGTAGTTGTTCTTTATGTATAGAAATGGTTATTATTATTATATATAGCTAATAATGAATATATCGACAAATGACTGGGATATCAAGTATTACGGGGTTATCCAAATTACCCGTAAATGCGCTAATTTCTTGAGTCATCTTCATTTGACACGTGGCCTATTTAAACAAAGGCAGCTTAAATTGATCTACGGCACTATACGGCATTTTAAATTCACTCTAAAATATTCCAATCACAAATGTCTAATCTTAACCAATGAAAGACGATAATTCTGTGATTATGATTAGGCCAGTCACGTGGTAATTGGACCGTCAATAGACTCTTGTCAACTTGCCGTGTGTATTGATAGTGCTATATTGTACAGACAGTGAGATATTGTATAGATAATGTATATCCTATGTGTAGTGCCTGTGACGTCACCAGCCAATCAACCGGATTAAGGTCGTAATTGAAAAATCGAAAAGCGTTTTGGCGTGTCGGATACTTAAACGTTAACAGCGGACTTATTTTTAATCAGATTGGTGTGAACTTGCTGTAAAGTTGATATAGTAACCATGGGCTATACATACATGCAATTTAGATTTTTGATCTTACGTGGTCTTTAAGTCCATATAGCAAACAAATATATTTTGTACTTTACAAATTTTCTCTTCTAAATATTTCACATTTTCTTATACACCAGAGGTAAGAGATTTTTTGTTGTTCTCCATCTATCTAACCCGCTATAAAATGTGCACCAGGTGAAAGCATATTATTTTGAGATAATTTAGAAACCTGACTACTGACATCATGGGATCAGATTTTATATTACCACAGGATCTCAAGAAATTCAAGAAAGAATCTTTGGATATTGATCTAGAGATCACAAGAATTTAGAATTGAGATAAGTTCATAAACTCTGGATCTTACAATTCTGTAGCTGTGTTTATTTGCTGCTTTCTACATACTTCCCCAAAACTCTGGTGTTGCTGGGTACAAAGACAATGGATCATTACGAAGGCCTCATTAAGTTAATGTATCTGATTTGAAACATGATAACCAATGATACTAACCTAAATATACCATTTTATTTGTATTTAGCATGGTGTAACTACCAGGTGAACTGCCTTCAACTATCTCTATACCATCTATCTCTAGATATGCATCTTGTTTATCTCTACAAATATACAAAATATACAAATATTGATAACCCAATGCACATGTTGTTTATCAGTATGTCTACATATACAAAATATCTTGTTTATGTCAACAAGTATACAAAAAATACAAACATTAATAAAAATTCTATATTTTTATATAGAGGCTACATCAATACTGGTATATTCCCGAATACAGGCAGACATTTGTCACTATGATTCCTACCAAATTTTAAAGAAATCCATTCAACCCTACTGAAGAAGAATTTTTATATAATCCAAATTTACCCTTTCAAGGTGACCCTTCTCAGTTTCTATGGTGGCCATTCTCCTCGCAGTGTTTCGTTTGATTAGAGCTAATATCACTTAACACTGCTGTAAAGGAAGCGAATTTCTGTTCCAAATTATGAAAGGTCAATAGCTAATTAACTGCGTAACAATATCATTATGCTTTAAAGGTGCTGAATCGCTAATATTTTGGAGCTAGAAATTTGCACAAATGAGTCGCAACACATATAATAATGTAATATGAATTTATATAAACTGTTTCACATTCAATCGTGTCCGTTTTATTGTGAATTCTCATCAGTTATGTTTGGCGAAATACGCCAGAAGTCTCAACTGCAGGTCAGTTTCTAGTGTCTGGTTATTCCAGTCAAAACCGATATTATTTATTGCGCATGCTCTCCAAATAAGAATATGATATCACCGTTTGACATTACTTGTGGAATATGTCTAGCCTCATTCTTTGAGCACCTTGTTACAAATGGCGCTGAAACGCATTATGGTACACGATTCGTGTACCAATGGTAAAATGTTTATTTTGTCTTAAATATTGGATATCAGAAGCCCATTTTTTCCAGGTAAGATCACAACACCAATGCTGATTTAAATTGCAAAAAAATTTTGTGTTTTCAATGTCGAACATTTTGGATGATAATGAGTTACGAACTTAGCTACTTTAAACAGAGCTCCAAATTGGACCAAATATGTTTACATAACATTACGTCATGACTCATGATTTTATTATGCCCGATTAACCAGTGCATAGCAGAATATTACAGAAAAACTAATTGCATGACAAACGAGGCTATCAACACGGATACAATGTATACAATACTGTATGGAGACGAACAATACTTTCACCATTTTTAATACCTTAAATCATTGTCCAAAGTTTTAGGGAAGACCCCAGATTAAACGAAGGGCTGTCATGCTGCTGTACTTGGGATAGATTTCATTGAACGGAAAGAATAGACACATACATTCCCTCAAAAGCTCAAGTATCAGAAGCCAATCCAGCAATGGCCAGAGAGGGATTTCTCGGACCATAGCTTCAGGAATATGATGATGGCAAGCAATTTCATTCAAACAAATCTGAATAAACAGTAACCTGCCATCAGACTTGGCAAATTTAACTCTTGTGCAGACACGTCACATGAAAAACCTTGTCGGCAACAAAGGGTAATCTAAGACCCCAGACATAAATAGTCTTTTGGAGCATAATTTTATTCAAATACAATCAAACTAGAGCTTCATATAAAGAGTGAATAATAATCAAAGTAATGAGCTATTAATAAGTAAATACTATTAACAGGGAAAATATGAATTATAAGGTATTTTTAACACCATAAAAATCAGCAAATAACTTAATTGCCATCATCTATGGCAAGGTTTGGGGGCATTTGTGTGAAACTTTTAACCACAAGAGTTCCACAAGATAATGGGTTTCTGAAAATAAATACATTCCACAAGATTTTCGACTATTATATTAGACATTTGAGCAGATGACCCCATGGGATAAAAATGTTTTTCTGAACCAATATATCAATGGGTTGACCAACACTGAAAAAGCTAATCATTTGCAATATTTCATAAATTAATTAATTTCACATAAAAAGATCATTGTTGAAAAAAAAAGCCATCTTCATGCTGAACAATATATCACTCTTAACAATAAAACACCATCTAACATTATCTATTGCAGACTTTTTGTGTCTTCTTTCAACATAAAACAAAAATAACAATGCCATATTGTCACAATGAAATATAGATTCCCGACAATCACATGTCAACTCTTTAAACACAAACAAATAGCTACATAGAGTTTTTTATTCGAAAGTCGGGAAAAAGGAAGGTAAATTCATTTATATATGTGTTCATAGTACAATAAAATGACATTAGTGCCTATGGATTTTTTTTTAAATTGCAGAAGGAAATTTATCATCAACAAGTTCCTTTTCTCTACAATATATAAATCACACAGTATGACAGTAACATTTAATTTTGTTCATGGATGCCGTTCGTGTGCTGATTATACCTTAAGGAAGAAATAGGAGATTCGTGTCTTTTATCTTACTTGTAATATTGTGAAAAAAACTCACATAAAAACCTACCCTACATATAGAATAATTGAATAAATACATGACCATATAGAAGACTTCTTGTTGGGTATGACTGAAAGAATTTCAGTTTTTTAATTCAAAGATATTTACAAAAAAAATTCATTGCAATAAGCATTCATTATTAAATACCTATGGTATTAAGGTTGGAAACTATACAGTTCATGTATCACAAGTAAACAACTAGAAGAATAGTTATTGACTTTCTAATGATCAACGAGCAGCACTAAGTTAAACCAGCGGTTGTCGAGGGGGAAGGGGGGGGGGGGGCTAACACAAACTCCCTAATGAACAGTGTGATCCCTGGGGTGCTGAACAATTTCCAAACAATTTTAGGTGGTACATACACACTTTAGCAAATCTAGCCTAGTGGCGGGGCGTGGCATTATGATTGTGGGCGTGTCTGTCAGGGGTACACAACCGCATTAACTATCTTGTAGTAGTAATTCCTTTTTACCTGTGGTACTGCTGAACAACTTCTAAGCAGTTTCAGATGATACAGACTTTAGCTAATCTAGCCTAGTTGCGGGTTGGGTCATTTTGGGCGTGTCTGACAGGGATACCCCACCGCACAATCTGTCTGGAAGTGGTAATTCATGATCCCTGTGGTGGTGCTGAACAACTTCCAAGCAATTTTAGGTAATCTAGCCTAGCTGCAGTCTGGTAATTATATAACACTTGTCAGGGGTACCTCTCACCACTGGAAATATCTGTCAGTGTTTTTGTAATGATGGAAAATCTATGGTACACTGCTGTGCCGTTTTCATGTGGTACACTTTTGAGCTAATCTAGCCCAAGAATTCATGCCCAGAATACCAGCCCTCACAGTCACACCGACCACCAGATACCCGACAGACTTACATTCTTATGATACCAGATACGCATGCATTGATACCATATAGGTAAAAATTGGTACACTTTTACAGCTAGGTTGACACTCCCCCCACCCCCATAGTTGCTTCAATGCGGGTCTAGTTTTCTTTTCATGATTGTGATGTTTATGATGAATCTAAAATTACTTCATTCAATACGCTGTATGTAATTTGACTAAATACTAGCTTCAAGCTGTAAGACAGATTTTAGGAATCATATTGTCAATATATACTGACATACCATAAATGAAACAATTTATATTGCTTCCTGACAAGTATTAATAATACATATACCAGAAGATTCTATTAAATATAAACTTAATTCTACAACCCATTTGACGAAACGCGTGGCAAGGCCTTTTTAACAATGGAATGTTATCATAAACATAGGTTGCCATGCAATGAAAAGTGTGTACCAGCAGCATTGATGTCTGGGTTGCTTTAACATTATCAGTATTTTATGTTTTGAAAGAATCGTCAAGAATGCTACAAGGTTTCAATAACAAGAGCAACAACTCCAAAAATAATTTATAGGCATCTCTGAAATTTGATTTGATTCATGCTCATCAGCTGTCAAACGATTCTAATGAAAATGTCCAAAACTCTGACCCAGTGAGCAGTTACAAGGTTTGATGAAAAAAACAAAAACTCTGCAAGTAACTGAAGCAAGTAACTGAAGCATGTAACCACCCATGCTTGTAACAAGTTGATTATCTTAATGATCACTAATTGCAGTTGACAATTTTAATAAACAGTAATTGCAGGTGAGTTGATAATCTTTAATCAACACCAATTGCAGGTGATAATATTAATCAATGCTAAAATGTAGGCGAGTTGGTTATATTTAATCATCCCTGATTGTAGGTAAATGAAGTTTAACATACACTCAACTCAAACTAGGTCATTTTGGGATTAACAATAATTATTCACTTGCACGTACAGTACAGGTATTTAGCTGTGGGAGGAATCCGGAGGACCCAGGGAAAACCCTACTCCTTGTCACATAGCGTACAAGCGGGGGACCGAAACACTCCACTTGATGCAACGCAACACTGTATAATCTATATCCCATGCCATAAATCATTCGGCCATCCAATCTCCTGATTGTTGGTAAGCTGGTGGTAAAATTCTAACATGACTTGTAAGAAAGGGAATAACTTAGCAAGATGAATCGTGGTTACAAATGGGAATAGAACAGAATAATAGCTAACAAGGATTTTGTAGAACAAATGATACAGACTAACTAATATGTGCAATAGCAATATCAAATGTCAGTATATAAAAGAATTTAATTAAATTGGATCATTTCATGCTAATATGTCCATGGGATCCCACAGTAAATGTGGAATGTCATCACCTATTGTAGGTTGAAAAACATTACAGTGCGTTTTTAACTGACATGTTTTTTGTCACTGACAGGTTTTATTATAAAAAAGAGCTTATTCAAAGCAGATTGGAAAGATATTTATTTTATTTTTTCTACTTATGATATTGGGAAGATTTACTAAAATATTATCCATGATATAACTGATGTGCTAAGTCTTTAAATAACATTCTCTATGTCTTAATACAAAATCTCTACATAGATTTCAATAAATAATGAATGAATGTAAATCCAACGAACATTTGATAAATATATGTAACACCTACTTCTCTTCTTGATTTTTGCGTAGGTTCAAAAAAAGTGGTGACAACTTGACATATGTATAAAATAACTATTAGGAACAATTTTGTTTCCTTGCTATAAACTTTAAAACTGCAGAAAAAGTGTCAATCATTATTAATACTTGTCGATGAAACATACTTAACCAAAAGCAAACAATTCTCTTGATAAAACCGCAGAAAGTTAATAACTAGATACGTTTTTAAAAGACATTCAACAATCTGTGCTAAAAGCATTTATAATAATAATTATCGTACCAATTATAAAATACAAAAAGTTCTAGATCTGAATATAAATGTTTTTTTTCTAAACATGTCATTCGTATGTGCATGAAATAAATTCAAACATCGCCAATGATTACCATGAAGTCACATATCTATTAAAAGTCGTTACTTTCTTAACATGCACCTACGTCATATCATTTATTGTTGGTGGCATATATAGGATTTTCGAAAGTTATGTGTGAGTGTGTTAGGAGCGCACTATTTCTACATAAATAAAATTTACATTAAAGAGTAATATGTTGTTTGGCAGTTAAAATTCAATTAAATTATTGAATTTAATAATAAATTATAATTAAAAATCATAAAACAAATTAATAACCGCAATTACTTTTATTAAAATCGTTTAAATCACCAAAATTATTAAGAGGCATTATATTATTCAATATTTAGATGTAGAGCTGGTTGTTCAAAGAAGGAAATCAAAAATAAATATATTGAAAATTTCAGTTAAATTACTTTATTCAGAGCAAACTTACGAATGGATACATTTATCAGGTATCAGAAGCAAATTCAATATACAAATTTGCATTATTTTTAATCATAATAAGACTATTTTAATATATAAAAATTAGATATCTGTATATTAGTATTTGCCATGTAAATAAGTGTCTAAATAATAATTCATATATTATTTGAAGTCAGCAGATTGTATACCATCGGCAAATTCAGCTCTTGCATTATTATTCCTCTGTACTAAATCAAAACTTATATAGTTCACAATTATTAATAGTCAACAGAGTGACCTCCACCAATTTTAGCTTATTTAGCAAATAATTTTTTTTTATATGAAGTTGAGGTAAATTAATAAAAACTTTATTTTTAAATAAATCAAACAGCGTCTGCTTATTTAAGATAACAGGTTACTTTCACATCTGAGTAATAAATACAGAATTTTTTTTTTTGGCGTGATTTTTTCCCATGAAAATCAAGTTGATCTGTCACACTGTCCCATTTTACAAGAATGTGAAGAGATCTTTTGAAACATTTTTATAGACATAAAATCTATCTAATTGTTACAAATTATTAGACAGGAAGATGTCTGTAAACATCAAGTACACCAGAGAATCTTGTCATTTAAAATAAGCCACTGACAATGGTATCTTAGAATCATGACATAAAACTGATGTAGTTGTTCAAAACAAAGAACTTAAATGTCTTAATTCAAGAACATTGTAACTATTACTAATGTAAAATCTCAAACAAATTAATATCTTTCACATTTAATATCAATAAATACTCTTGATTATTATATCTAATAACATTTGAAAAAGTCTGTCTTCACTATATCAAGGCATATAATTTCATACTGACAAACATTAAAGTGTATCTTTTGAGTGAAGACCTATTTTTAAAACTAAAGTTACCATAAACCTCTGAATACCTTGTTTCTTTCAAATAAAGATGAGAACTGTAAATACCATGTTTCAAGTCAAAAACAATTACTTTGAATCTTTGGTAAATTAGAATTAAATTACATTACGTTATTCTGTTTCTAGGAAACATGTAAATTTGAGTATTTTGTTGGTTGGGGTAATGTAGCTGATGAAACTGATTGTTTATTTGGATCCAGATATGCACTACATATCACCACTGACATTCCGATTTTTCAGACTTTCTCAGGGGAAAGCCCTGAGGTACAGAGTCTCAGATAATGGTTGGGCACCTCAGTTTAAAATACAGGTGATTAACCTAAACAAAAGGAAAAATGACAGCTACAAATAAACTATCAGGCTCATATAGCAAGACTTATATCAATATTTTCATGGGATCAATTTTATATGAGTTTTGATTGACTCTTACCTTTGGGCTCGAACGAAATGCCAAGATCCATCAAATAATCGGGAATCATTGTAGCCAATCACAGCTTCTCCACTTCCTAGATTAAAGCGAAACTGTAGACTGCCATCACGAAAACCTAGAGCAATGAAATCACTAGCTGTTTTCATGTGATTCTGGCCCGTCCAAAATATTAGTCCATTTTTATCTTGAGGTTTTATATACATCTGTAGATCTATTTTACTTCCTGTTACTCTGTAAATAAATTGTTGAGCAATAAAAAGATGTTTTTTCAACTGTCATTTTTCATTGCTATAAATCGCAAAGCTCTCCACGACACATGATATATCATCAAATTTTTATTGTCATAAATTCCAATGTTCTTAGGAAGTCTGAATTTTAATTCTTAAAGAAAAATATTTGAAAGGTCATTTTTTTTAGTATGTTGGGTGATATACAATAAAATATTGTACAGTTGACGAGAAAGAATGATAAAAGTTTCTGATCAAGTGTTTGCTTTCAAATCTAGCACGGTTTATTATAGATTAAAAGTTGATTGTAATGGTTATTATTATTTGCAAATCTGTCAACAATTCAAAATTCAATAAATAAGTTTTTATAAAGATGCATTATGTTAGAATTAGATTAAGAGCTGCCCGTTCTTGCTATAACAGTTAAAAAATAGATAATGAATAATGAATATATTGAAAATTTCAGTCAAATTTCTTAATTGTGTGGGAAGTTCTGAGTCTTTGAAATTTTGACAAAATGTAGCATAGATGATTATTCATTATCTATTGTATTGTTAAAACTCTTAAACAGTCATGGTGTACTAATCTACTTAAAATCAGAGCCATCTGATGGCCCAGAGAGTTTATTATGCCTGATTATTGTCTTGTCATCTACATAACATTTGAAGCCAGAAAAATACCTGCAATAGGTAGATTTAGCTCTTACATAATGCATCTTAAATATATACATGTATTTATTATTACCTTTTTACAACTTTTTTATCTGTATATATCAGAAAGCCATTTCCTTTAAACATTGGTTTGGATGGTAACTTTCTCATTCCTTAAATAATATAATAGTTTTAAATACAAAATAATATTATTTAAATGAATAAATATATTTCCTGGAATTTCACTATCATGTATACTTTAATTTCTACATATAAACTGTCGGAAACTACGGCCCCCTCTAGTGCTTCAAAGCACCAAGAGTCACATAAATAGATTTGTTGAACTAGTATAAGGACTGTATACTAGTTCTCTGACTCGGGGAGTTTGAGTCAATTTTAGGAGAAGTAGTTTCGAGCAGTTTCAAAATTCAGCTACAAAACTCAATGTAAAGAAGAAACCTTTTTCCTATACAGAAGAATTAAAGGAACTGGGGTAGTCAATATATACATGTACCTGTTGATAACGAAATGAAATGAAATCAAATGAAATGAAATGGAATTTAACGTCCTACTATTCTGCTCCTATACTGGGCTAATGAAGACGGGCATACGCCATACAGTGTGCTATGAGGGAAATTTTGCCCGGACAGCGGCACTACGGCCTACTCTTATATCAAATTCCAACTGCCAAGGGATCTTTTACGTGCACGCCAATCTGTACACGGGACCTCGAATTTTCTTCCCATCCGAACGACTAGACAGCTTTCCTTGTCAGACCCTCCGTCCTGCATCACTGACAAGGGAGAACCATGCCGGAATCGAACACCAGACCGCCAGGCTAGCGAGCTAGGTCTTACCCACTTAGCCACGTGACCCCCACCTGTTGATAACAGGTTAATAAACATACACATGTATAATTTGTTAAAAACATCATAAACCTCAAGTTTCTATACAAACAACAGATTAATGATCAATAAAGGCATCAAATCTGTATATAATTGTAAAGGTATGTGGCAGAAATTCTAGCTGAATTTTATTGCATGTGATTACAGATATATTTAACATACTTAATATTTACACAACCCTTCAAATATTTTCACATATATCTATGACTAATATTAGTAATAAAATGTTTCAACAAATGAAAATAATCAACAAAAGTTGATTATTATGGTAGCTTCATCAATTGAAGAAAATGAAAAAAAAAAAAAAAATGTTTTCAAAGAATATATTTCTCAATGCTAAATTCTAACAACCATTTTCAAAATTAAGTTTCCTTCTCAGAGAAATCACAGAAATTAAACTGATAAAACTTACGATCTTCACAGTTTGTATTAGAATAACCTAATGGACAGTAACATTGATAGACATCTTGTTGTGGTACACATTCTCCACCGTTCATACATGGTGTACCATCACACGGATGTTCACATGGTTCTACGTTCACACCATCTAGAGCAGCTTCCATAATACTCAATGGTTTCTTATTAATAACAACCTACAATCATAAAATATCACCAAAATTAAGATTTCATTGAATATAAAAAAAAACTTGGGACTGAAAATACAGTGAAGATATTTTGAATCTTTAATGTTATTTATATAATTGTATGCTGCGCCTCTGGTCATTTTTAGGGCAATAAATTTGTTTATCTTACAATATTGTTAAAGTTGAATCTCAAAAAAAAGGGATGTTACTCCAAAAATGCTTCAGTTCACCCTCTGTGGACAATATTAAGTGTTTGTTAAAATCTTTTAATTTGGCTATTTTTAATTAGATGGAATCTAAGCTGGGAGATTATCTACCATTGATATTTTGGCTTTTTTCTCTAAAATAAATGTTAAACAGGCTAACAGTGAGGCTGATGTCCCCCATCAAAATCCAAAAATAAATAGATGACACATATTAATTAATTGCACATTTATCTTTTTCAAAAGCATCGAGCAATCAAACTAATTATCTATACTTACTCTAAGCAGAAAATGTTCATGATCAGTTAGAATAAAAGTTATCTTGTCCCAAAACATCAACCAATGATATTGCTTAGCTCTGCTTATAAGGAAATGTTAATCACTGAACTCAGTCAAGACATTCACCTACTGAACATCTACATAAAGTTTAAACATTCTACCTCAATTAAAGGGTCAATCTCGATTATATTTTGGAGAATAAAACTGCTTAATTTTGTCTAAAAAGCCCATAACATCTCCAAGTTAGGGCCAAGCAACTAACTCAATACACGTTTCAAACAACTTAAACCCGTCAGTCTTCATCTGAAAATGGAGACCAGTGTCCCAAGCTGTATTATATGGTGTCTGATAAAACCAAACATGTAAGTGAAATGTATCTTTCGTTATCAAGTACAGTACATGGGTCATGCACTGTATAGATTATCAGGAACGGTAACAGATTATCAGGTCACCCAACGAAAAAAACTGACCCAAAATCCTAAAAGGATAACCTGTCCGGATAACCTGTCCAAATGACTCAATATTTTGAGCTCGAATTTTGGGACAAGGTAAATGCAAACTTCCTCTAAATTTTGGTGCTTAAATTCCATATGTACATGGACTTATTTCTGCGACTTTGTTAAAATTGAAATGGTCCCTTTAAAAGCAGAATTATGTTCCAAAGTCTTGACCAATCAAATTGCTTATCATTACTTATCCCAAACAGAAAATGCTCATTATTGAATTTAGTCAAGGTATTGATGTGACGAAACTATACACCAAGTTTCATCACTCTCAACAAATTAGAACCAAAGTTATTGTGTTCCAAAGCATCAACCAAACAAAATGCTCATCTTTGTACTCCATCAAGGCATTCACCTAACAAACACCTACACCAAATTTGAACATTCTAGCTCACTAGAATTATGGTGTCCAGACAGACAGACGAACACAGAGAGACCCATTTTAATATTCCCCTGCTTTTTTTGAAAGATGGGGGACATTAATGAATCTGATCACATTTTAGTATCAATTAAACCATGTGGCATTAGATATTGTCCGAAAAATGCACAATTGTGATCAGCGACTTTAAATTTGTAACAAAGCAAAACTTTGATTTCTAGAAAACATATCCTCCCAGCATGAAACAAGTGGCAAGTGATACATAATACATGTATGTATTGGCTGTTTTAGAAAGAGAAAGAATACCCTGCAATGTGTATGACACTTATTACAAAGTGTTTAGAAAGTTACATTTTATAGAAACAGGTACCATGGATCAGTACAAAATGTTATTCTACTATACATGCAGACACAGACATATAATCTACGCTGGTGATAGAATTACATAGATTTCAATAACTCAAGTTAAGGGACACAACTCCAATAAATGAGGATCTTGAAACATATTTTTACACATAGTACTACATACATAATGTAAAATCAATATTTAGAGCACACAAGGTCACCTTGTTTTGACTGATGAAAATGGTGACAATAACAGTAGTGAAATGTGGGCGTATAGAAAGGTAGCACTACTAATTAGAATTCTCTTCTGTAATGAATTTTTTCTCTGTTATTTGTCAGACAAAAGATTGATTTCATAACCATAATGATGTCTTGGCTTTGTAATGGTACTAACTTACAATAGGGAAAACCCTCAAATAATTTAGTTTGTCAATATGCTCGATCCTCTAAGCCAGTGATTCTCAACCAGTGTGCCACGGCTCACCTGTGATTTTTCTAAGTGTGCCACGAAATATTGAATGGCATACTGAGAAAATGTGAAAAACCCTGTGATCATAATCAAGTATTCACTGGTGTCTACTGATAAGTTCATAGCTGTGTTTTTCTTTATTTAGTTTTAGTCATTCACTAGTCTCTGTCTACGGTTGTATTCCATCTGAATTACCATGTTTTTATTTTGCAAAATTCAAATATTTTTCAAATATATTTAGCCAGGTGTGCAGCTATTTTTGAATGTGTTCCAAGGTGAGTCGTTGACAAAAATAGGTTGAGAACCACAGCTCTAAGCCTAGATAACTGTAGTATACATGAATTAATCTCCAACATTATAGATACATCTAAAGTTTATCTACAGTTTTGTATGATAAATAGCAATTGATAGAAAACCATAGAAACTCTAATATAGATACAAGCCCAAAAATTGAATTACCTTCTGTATACAACCAGTGAAAGATTTTGACATGTTGACATGTTTGGACATTTCATCATAATTAGCATGTCCACCTATAAATAGATTCTCTAATAATGTGAGTTGTGTATAAGCTCCCTGTGATTCACCCTCTATCTCTAACTGATCATCAACCTTTAATGTACCTTGTAGACCAGTTCGTGATATACGTACTACATGCCACTGGTTAATGGCTAAAGGTGTCAAACTCCTGAAAATATATAACAGACATACGTGTGTTTGAGATAACAACTCTCAAAGGAATATATTTGCAAACAAAATCATTGTGCAACTTTATTTTTCAATAGGATTCCTCATTTGAAAAAAATCTCCAAAGGTCTGATATATAAAGCATTCACAGGTGACAGGTGCAATTACTTTGCATAATATTTCGATAAGTTTCTTCCGAAAATTAACCAAATAATAGTTTTCAAAAATAAGTATCAAAAACTCTATCTATATATAGAGCATTTACATTAGTTTTATTGACAGGTGCAGTAAATCATTACAAGTCTTCCTAAAGACTAACTGAACAATCATAATAAATTTGAAAAAAAAATATCACAAAACTCCACACGATGAAAACTTTACCAGTGGGGGAAAACTGGGGGACCGAGAAAAACACACAAGTTTAGACAGGTGACCCTACTCCTTGTCACGTACAAGCTGGGAATTCAAACAACACCACTTGACAGACCTTATGATCTAAAGTGCATACATTAGACCATTTGGTCACCCAACTCCCACTTTCGGTAACCGACTTTATCATTAGGTAGATGTATTTTATTCACATATGAAAATAGCACATAATAATGATAACTGGCTGAGTGTGAGAAATAACTTTTTCAAATTAATTCTGTTGTCATCAACAGAGATATTCAAATTGATTTTTGTTTATCATTTTTATTCTGAACCACAAAAAAAACAAAACAAAGAAAAACCCCACTTTACCTTAATTTAGCTGGACCAGTTCCAAGATCAAATCTAAACTCAAAATAACTGTCTCTTAAAGCTAGAGATATGAAATCCCCCTTTCTATCTTTAGTATAACCATTATAAAATATTAAACCTTCTTCTGTTGTTGGTTTAAATACCACTTCTATCTCTGTATATGTTAATACAGATCGTCCTAGACCCTCATACTGAAGATATGCATGGCCACTAAACCTTGGTATGTGGATTTCATGTTCTATAATAATAATCAAATGAAATCATGAAAACAATTGTTGATCAGGTTAAAAAAGAAATAATCAGGAAGAGCAATTGAGACATACAGCTGTTGAGATGTAGTTTAAGCCAGCATGTAATTACAATAAATAAATCAACCAACTTCTGGTTAATATTTAAAAAAAACAATCAACCTAATTCAACACTTTTTTTAAAACTTTAATGAAAGAGGTTTAGCTCATTTAAACTTGGGCCTATATATTTGATTTATTCCAACAAAGTTTTATATGAATAATATTTTATGAATATCTTTAATAAATAGTATTGTTTACATACTGTGTTCACAGGTATCTCCTGATGTTCCCAGTGGACATAAACAAACATGGCTATCAGCTGATTTTATACTACATATACCACCATTTTCACAGCTTACAGTTTCACAAATACCTTGACTACATTCACCTATAATAAAATATACCATCAATAGGATATTTAACTTTAAATAGTAACAGTGTTGTGCATACTGCGTAAGGGATAAGTTTCTTGTAAAGACAAGCTCATTCAGGGTCCAGTTGTACTCAAACTTACTATAGTACCAGCATTAATATTTTTTCTGGCAATTATGCGATTTTATTTGGACTCTATGTAGATTATGAATCTTTAATATTTTCACATTTAGATCACAAGAAGCAATTTGTGGAGGATTAGCTTTCGGTTAATGACCTGGTCCTAAAAATCATAGTCATATGTTAGGTGTTTATTTTGTTCAGTAAAGATGTTAATACTTAAAACTGGAAACTTGTAGTTATCTCCCTTCAATGCTATTGAAAACTACTATATTGTAGAAGATTTTGGTACACAATGAATAAATTGATCTAGTTTTAATGTATTGTATTGTAAAATTAAAAACAGTTTGCAGGAAATTATTAATTGCTTCAGTAAGAGTTCTGAGTGCTATATTGTAGGCCTAATGTCTATAGTGTTGAGGCTGTGAATAGACAGACACAGGGGTCCATAGTATTCAAAATGCACAGTAAGTAACTAGGTAGAAAATTAGATAGTATAAACATGTGCAACTTTAATACTTTATACCAGAGGTCTTAAAACCTTTCCTTCATTGTAAAAAGACTGATATATAATATCCTTACCAACATTAACACCAAACTCAGCATCACCAACAATATCAGCTTTTCTTAAATCATATCTATAACCATTTATACTGACTTCTTGCACACAGCCAACCAATCGCTTCCTAGTTCCAATACGTGATGATATAGCAGACATATTACTATATCCTCCTACATAGACATTTAACCTCAGTGTAATTCGAGAGAATTCTCCCTGAAAAATGCAACAAAAATCACAAATTCAAATAAAAGATACAAATAAAAATCTTTTCTGGGTTTTAGTCTGGTACACCATTTCAGGTATTTTGAATCCCTTGTAAACTACAATATTGTGAAAAGTTGTATCTCTATCTACACATGGTTTAATTGCAAAGTCAAAGATATGATGTATTGATAATTTCCTTACATTCTGCCTCCTCTGAAGATATCATAGCCAAGTCAGCACCACCTATGATGATACTTTTTTTAGTGCAACTGAATCAAGGCCAGGTCATTATCTACTGTTCATAATTTGGTTTTGTTTTCTTAATTGAATTCTAAATACTTGGTAATCAATTTGACTACATTTTAGCATAACAGTATTTAACTGTCCTTGGTTTTTTTTTTTATTAAAACACAACGATGTATTTTGAAATATCTAGCAATCTAAATGTGAATATATGTGTTACACTCACACGCCATGTACCGGTACTACAAAGCTAAAGCTGAAGTGTAAATCAGATTAGAGAATGACAACATATAATTTTATTATCTATGTACATGTAGTTAACCTTTAAGTTATTTTATAAAATGTTCATTAATTTTAAATAGGTCAACTCTATGCAATATCTAAGTCAAATAATATCTAAGTCAAATAAGCTCAGTTTAATTGTTCATATAGATGATAAATTGTTATATTCTTCTACATACATGTACCAATGGACTTACACCTTAAGGTTTAGAAAAAAACATTCAAACAGAATCTGGCAAAAAGAGAGTTGTCCAGGGGTGTTATATAATAAACTCATTGGTTACTATATGTTGTGAATACAAATGTATATGTTTTCAACTCTTAATAATCATTACTATCTCCTTTATTATCTTTAAATTCTCCCAAGCTTTAATTAAAAGTCAAACTATGTTTGAAAAAAAAACCTCTGCAAATAAACAATCCCACATTAAAAACCTGTATCATGCTTACAACATTTTATAAATTTAACCTAATCTGGGGGATATAATTAAAAATTCAATGAATAATCACTGCGAATTTTTTAAAAATTTGCAAGAACTCCTGACAAAAGAAATTGAGAACAGGTGCTGAGCTGATGGACATAATGCCACATTCTAATCTTATATTTCATTTAATCTCACAAATCATAATGGCCAGAGCTTTACCACATCTGTTAATTTAATTCGATAATTTTAATCTTCTGTGGGCCTAACCTAATATGTAATATAGGTTTTGTGAATATGTATTGTTCTTAATTTATAAAGCCAAAGAACGATATTCAGCATTAAGATAAAGAGGCTAACCCTGAATAAATAACCAGTTCCCAATAACTATAATACATGGCATTTTGTTGAAATCATAGTTCTGAACAAGAAGTAAATATGTAAATAGCTATGCTGGACAGAATGATATTAGATGTGATCTATTATAAGCTGGATTAATCAAGTAGTGGGGTTTTCACATTCTCCTTGATAAATACACAACATCTAGTACCACAAATGTCATACCAAGACTATACCAGCGGTTGCCAGGCAAGATACACCCACAGCGGCCCACATTTTGCAAGAGATAGATAGGGAACACGCTATAATCCAAGAAGTTATGGTCTGAAATGTGCGAATATCGAAAGGGACTGAGATCTTTAGGATATAAAGATATATTTTAAGTTTCACCAAAATCAGAAAAAAATTGTGACCACTAGAGGATCCACAACCTTTGTATATTACATACTTGTTACACAATTTGGGTACAAGGAGCGGTCATTTTGTCGGGCAGTTTTGTTTCAATTTTCCCGAAATTTGAACTCAACCTATATTAAGGTGAAATGGTGATATACTTAAACAGTTTTTAAAATCTGATAATTCATTAATTCATTCAAAAATTGTGTCCTCTAGAGGATCCACGAACTAAAAATGGGATTTTGTGTACAATCAGGGGCCATAATCCAGTAAATTATGGTCTGATATATGCAAATATCCAAAGGAACTGAGATCTTTGAGATATAAACATCTATTTTAAGTTTCATCAAAATCAAACAAAAATTGTGACCTCTAGTAGGTCTACAACCTTGTAATTACATACTTTTACACAATTTGCCATTTTTTATGGGTAGTTATGGTCTGATTTTCTACGAAATTCAAACACAATCATCATCTGGGTGTAACGATGATATAGTTCAACAATTTTTAAAATTTTTAAAAAGTTACTTTCCGTTATGCACTAATATCGAAAAGGAACCAAGATCTTTTGGATATAAACATGTTTTAAGTTTCATCAAAATTGGATAAAAATTATGACCTATAGTTGGTATTACATGCTTAAACACTATCTATTTGGGTACAGGAAGTGGCCATTTTGTCCAGCAGTTTAGGTCCGATCTTCACGAAATTCAAAATCAATCATCATAATGGTGTAACGGTGATATATTGAATTGTTTTTTTAAATCAGATAAAAATTGTGACCTCTAGAGGGACCAAACCCTAAAAACATGATTTTTTGTTCAATTAGGGGCCATAATCCAGAAGTTACTGTCCGATATGTGCGAATATCGACAGTAACCAACATCATTGGGTTGTAAACCTATATTTCAAGTTTCATCAAAATCGGTTCAAAATTGTGACCTTGAAACGAACCAAGATCTTTGAGAGATAAACCTATATTTCAAGTTCCGTCACAATCAGATAAAAATGTCACTTCAAGGAGTCCACAAGCTAAAAGCGTGATTTTTCGTACAATCAGGCGCCATAATCCAGGAAGTTACAGTCCGAAATGCACAAATATCAATAGGAACCAACTTTGGTATAACATATTTTCACACTATTTGTGTATAAGGAGCGCCCATTTTGTTCGGCAATTGTGACTTCTAGAGTGTCCACAACTTTGGTATTACATACTTTTACACTATTTGTGTATAAGGAGCGCCAATTTTATTCGGTAGTTTCTGTCAGATTTTTACGAAATTCGAACTCAACCTTCATTGATGATAAACGGTGATATATTTAAACATTTTTTAAAATTGTGACTTCTAGTGGGTCCACAAACTAAAAATGCAATTTTTGAACAATCAGGGGCCATAATCCAGGAAGTTACGTTCGGATATGCATGATTATTGACAGGAACCTAGATCTTTGTGATGTAACCATAAATTTAAAGTTTCATAAAAATTGGATCAAAATTGTGGCCTCTAGAGGGTCCACAACCTTGATATAACATATTATTACACTACGGTGTAACTGTGATATATTCGAATGATTTTTTAAATCAGATATTAATTGTGACCTCTAGAGGGACCACAAGCTAAAAACATGATTTTTCATACAATCGAGACCATAATTCAAATGTGGGCATATAAAAATCAGAAAATTATTAAATACATAACAATAAAACTATTATGCAAACACACATGGGAAATTTATAAACATCAACATTAATTATCCTCTTTGAACTGGGTCAAAAATATAATTTTGGAACTTATATGTTGATGACAATCTGTCTTTGTTGAAATCTTTAAGCCTATAGATAATACCCAGCTACCCAAAATACTCATCATTAATCAATATAACATATCAGATCAATCCAATTCAATACTTTAATTTTACCTTAATGAAAGACATTTAGCTCCTTTACGATTACTAGTGTTTCCCAATTACAATCTAATTTCACTCATAAGGTTTTGGTTTAAACAAAATCCAGTTCAAAATTTCAAGACAGAATATATTAGAAAACAGATGATGACTAATAAGCTGCCAGCCCATCATATTGTACATTTAACTAAATACTAATAAAGCTTAAAGCTTATTCAAATAATACATTTCTATAAGCCCAAAGATATTAAGGATGAAAAGATACAGGAAAAGAAAGTTACATCTTTTATTCAAATAATACATTTCTATAAGCCCAAAGATATTAAGGATGAAAAGATACAGGAAAAGAAAGTTACATCTTTTATTGCCATCTTCTGCTTATAAAACATTCTGGAATTATGTAAAATATTACTGGTTTAAAAAAATAACCTAATGGATGAGATATTAAAATTTCATTTGCTTTTTCCATTCTACTGTGTCAACCAATATAAATGACTTTCAATATCTACATGAAAGCTCACACACATTTGTTGGGTGGGTTATTTTTATAACTTTTTTATAAAATATTATTAAAATTTCAGTACTTTGTTTCATTTTTTGTTTTATACTTTCAAGGGCCTACACTACATGAAGATCTGACCGGTTGTACTGGAAGGTCGTGTAAGGGGCCATACGGGCGGCTTTCAACCCTATGACATCAGACATTGATCAATCAAGCATGTTGACATTTCTAGTGGTTTACATACAGTTCTGTGCATCACACGCCAAAAACTAGCTGTAACAGACCATTTATTGGCTAATCGCTCACTTCTACCAGTAAGCTGGTAATATAGCAACTCTTCCAGATTCTAGTGTAGTAAAGACAAGTAAAACACAATTTTGAACTAAAAAAAACTAAACAAAATAGGATCTGTGTTTCAATCAGACAGAAAAAAACCAGCGGTTGGCAGGCTAGATACGTCTAAATTTTGCAAGAGATGGATAGAGAACAAGCTAAAAATAAAAAGCGATTTTTCATACAATCAGGGGCCATAAACCAGTATGTTATGGTCAGAAATGCACGGATATCAAAGTGGACTGACATATTTGGGATATAAAGATACATTTTATGTTTCAACAAAACCGAATAAAAAATTGTGACTACTAGAGTGTCCACAACCTTGGTATTCCATACTTTTACACTATTTGCGTACAAGAAGCGGCCATTTTGTCAGAGTGTCCACAAACAAAATGTGAACAGACGCACAGATGGACAAACAGGGCCGATGACATTATAAGTCCACATAAAAATGTGGGTATATAAAAATCCATGTTATGTCTGGGTAAAAAGATACCTCATTCTGTTGATGATTATGATTAATGTTTTTATATGTAGACATATTTTTTTTTCTGAATTTGCAGTCAAGAAATTGATATTTTCAATTAAGCCCACATCTACTTTTTTTCAGTTTTGAAAAGATGTTTTGGACCAATGTTAACATTCTTATTAGTTAGCTTTATTTAATGACTTCCTTGATCTACATTAATTTTTAAAAATACCTGGAATCATTAAATTCTTAGTAAATATCTAAAGAATTACTATCATTTATGTCTTACAAATAAATATCTGTATTGTATTATTTAATAAAACTTGCATGATTAGGCTACATGTATGTTAGTCATGAACAATGAGAAACTCAATCTCACTTCTTCAAATACCATATATGTATAGTTTAGAATAAGTTAGAAAATATATATAATTAGATTGTTAAATATTGATCGGATTGTCAGGATTTTTTTTAGGAATTAAAGCTGACACAATATCGTGTGATACATAATGTTGGCAAAATTTTGCCTGTCTAATATTAGGACTGGTTTCAGAATCTGCTCACTAAATCTTTCGAAAGTTTTACTTCACCTGAGATCTAAGCCTTAGTCACTAAAATTTAATGCAATTCAAGTAATGTTATTGGGAGAAAGCATCTCACTTCTTCTCCTGATTATTCTATTTTACTCATCTCTAGTGTAATAAATATACAAACCTTGGCTGTTCCTTCAACAGGTTCATCATTGTTTAATCTTAATGTTGCAGAATTATCAATTCTAAATAATGCTACTCTATTCCACTGGCCAATCTTAACCATTTCAGTGCTTCTTATAACACCTAAACCAGTTCCACAGTCAAACCTATGGATATATAGTAATAATAAAAAAAACTCTATTACATATGATTTTATATGGCAGGATTTACTGAGATGACCTTAATAAAGATAAGTTCCTTAGGGGTTAATTAGATAATCTGCTGCATTGCTCAAAATTTATTCTTAATTGAAATTATGACATAAAACATAAAAGCAAATTACAGGCCGATAGTGATTATTAAACTTTCAAAAACCAAGAAAGATGGCATCCTCTCCTGTCAAGAACAAGTCTGGTAAAAAGAAAGATAAGTTGCTATGCAATGAAACATACACCCACAGCAGCTAAGTCGTTGGGGCAGTCAACTAGGGTTGTCACATATTGTTTCTTTTGTCAGTATGAAAACATGTACAACATACTAAAATCTGATTACAAGTAACAACCCATTAAGTAATTAAAATTGTTAGAATTTGTTTCGATTGTTTGCATCATTTGTAGTACTATGGTCTTTGTGACCATATTGTACGCGGAAAATCTAGTATTTTCTGTTTTGGTGCATTCTGAGACGCCTTTTTCTCGAAAACGACGCCAACGATTTTTCTTAAACTTTTCTTAACCAGAGTCCTATTGGTGGTCTAGGGTGTGAATCCAAAAATAAAAGCATTGAAATAGTATAAGTGGTCCAAAAATGGCCTCAATCTTTGAAAAAAGTTGAAAAATAGTGAAATTATTGAAAATGCTCTTTTATTTATCTTTTTTTCGAAAACTACTCAATGGATGTTTCTGACACTTCTGGCACAGGAAGTTAAGTATCTATACAACTTGTTAAAGCTATCCCGACAATGATCCAAAAACCGGAAGTAGCCGAAAAAATATCCTATATTTTGAAAAATAATGCAAAAAAATGAAGACTTTTGCCAAAAACGTGATTTCTCCTTTGGATATTACCATATTATCAAAAGTATCGTTCGATAGCCCAGTGAATGGACTTTCGTATGCTTCCTTCGGGTCTGTTGCCTGAAAGCTGATTCAGCACTGCCATGCAGGTCTAGTTAATTATTAGATTCACACATTGTAGAGATGTCATATCTCACGTGCTTAAATTAAACTGAGTGATGTGTTGACACATAAAAGATTTATAAAACCAAAATATAGAGGAGCAGTGAATGAGAAAGATCTTTTTGTAATTTCAAGATTCACTGATGGTTATGCAGAAATCTGTGGATCTAAGAGTTCTTGTGGATTTGTATGGAGTGATCAGATCTTTGATATATTTTGGTCATTGCTCATGTAATGCCTTCAAGGTTAAAAGTTATATTTTGAACTTGAGCCACTGTTTAACTGGGAACCAGTGAAAGTTGCTTCGTTCTCAAGGTGTTTAATTTGATAATTTGGAAGGCCAAAAATTAAGGCATTATGATAATCTAGTTTATTTGTAATGAATGAATGAATGATGAACTCTGTACTTTCGGCAGTTAAATACTTCTTTATTTTGGTAATTCATGCAGTGAAGCTGGAAATCGTGTAGTTTTCAACAATAAAGAGTTTAACATCCACTGACACAAACCAGGTCATTTTGGGACTAACATATGATTTAATTTTATTTCAATAATTTGTAGGGGTCTCTAGCAGTGGGAGGAAACCTGAGGACCCGGAGAAAACTCATGAGGTTGGGCAGGCAACCCTACTCATTGTCACGTACATCCAGGTCATCGAAACCATGTCAGTTGACTTAATGACAGACCTTAAAGATACATTATGGGAGATTCGATAACGAGTTGGCAGTTCTCACTATAATTGTTAAAAACTAGATAATATAAAGGCAATTTGCTGAAAATTTCATTCAAATTGATCCACTATGAACCGAGAACTAAGTGGTTGAAATTTCCGGCTAGCCTTGATCATCATTACTTAAGTCAGTACGATAAACAGCATAGTCTAGATTATCCATTTAATCGTTAAATCGTGAAGAAAAGTTATGCAGTAAATCGGCCCATAATCCACTAAAGATCGCAGGCTAGCGATGCCATCTGGAATTGATTATGGTCTGGATAGGTTAATTAATGTCTAATTAATAATTTAGATAACATTTCAGGCCTAAAGAAAGACCTGCAATAGACAGATTTAGCCCCTGCATAATGTATTTTTAAGATAAAACATGTGTGCGCTAAGAACTCGACCACCCAACCCCCCTTAATAAATAAGGACATTTAATCTATATAAATTGCTTTATTGCCATTTGAATTGTTTATTTTTAAATCATTATTCTCTCCCACAAATTATTCATAGGATGGATCTATTTAAGTAACAGAATCTTATAACTGTAGAGATTCCATCAGCAATAAATGATATGAATATTGCGATTTTAGACGAATAAAAATGACAAATCTCTTTACCATTTTTTCTTGAAGGAAATGGTAAGCTATAAATCATACAATATGATTCCCAGCCAGTGGTCATAATGAAACATCTGTCTAATTTTGTCTTTTTTCATATTGTAATATCAATTTCTTGTTTTCTAGAATTTCAAATATGGAAATTCACCTTATTTCTTAGATTTAAAAAAACATAAATCAATTTTGTTTTCAATTACCTGAATTCAACAAATCCATCAATCAATGCTATAGAAAAGAAGTCAGATTTTGCCGATTCTGTTTCTGAGCTAAACAATAATAGACCATTCTGTGCCTGTGGTCGGAATTCAACAACAATAGTAAATTCTTTATATCCATCCTTTAAAACTGGCAGTGCTAAATATCCCATCCCAAAAAATTGTGGATATCGTACAGAAATATCTAAAATGAAATATATTTTATAGTATTGAAACATTAAAGTACAGTCAAAATAATACATACAGATACACACATCCACATTCAAAGTTGACACATATTTATTTTTTTAGAGACAATTAAAAACACTAAAGATGGGTTGCCAGGCAACAAAACATACGCATCGCATAATTTACTATTTTTTTGTCAGTAATGAGAATATTTTTAAGACATTAAAAACTGATCAAAAGGCTTCTTTTTCTCACATGTAAAAACTTGAAGTCAATCAAATGATAAATTTAGAGCACCTACAGGATTTTTCAAATTAATCAAGGGCCATAACTCAGTAACTCAATTCAACTTCTTCGTCTCATAATCATTAACACTGCATAAATTTTAATTCAATGTAATAATAACTTATATCAGATTTTAGGCTCTAGAATGTCTACACAATTTTTCAAATTGATAAAGAGCCATAACTTCAATATTAATTATCGTTAATTGTTGAAAATCAATAGGTTTCATCAAATGATTATAGCTTTAGCCTATAGAGTGTCAACCATGGATGATGGACAGAATTACAGGGATGAAGACAATATAAAAATGCATGTTATGCCTAACAACTTGTAAGACATTTATTGATAAAGATATATTAAGTTACAGGTAAAGATCATTTCTTATGTTATGAAGATGTTGGGGGAATCTTAATGATACAATAAAAATAATAAAAAAAACTTACATTTCTGACATCTACTTCCAGCTGTACCAAGTGGACAATCACACCGTGGAATATTTCCTTCAACAACACAAGTTCCATTATTCTGACACACTACATCCAAACACAGTTGCTTTACACTCAATTTGACTGGTTTCCTTGGAATATTCTGCATTGATAAATCAACATATCGAACAGAACCCTCTTGACTGTCCCCACCCTCATGAATTCGTAACTCACTAAGCTGTGGTGGAACATCAACATCTTTCTTAAGATCTACTGTATGAATAGTATATTCTGATGATGCATCAGTTTGTAAGTTCTTAACTTTTCTATGTTCGTTGTTAACCAATCGAGTATTTTTGTCTTTTGATTGGTTAGATTCATAAATACTGTATATTGATTGGCTATCAAGTTGGTTATTTTCACGAATATATATTTCATCTCTTTGTGGTTTTTCTTCTGATACTTCGGGAAACATTTCATGCACCGAGACTGAAAGAAAAAAGATGTAATATGGTATATGACTTAAATTATTTAAGGTCATATTCCTGAATGCTGATTGACAGTGAATCAATGTTTAATTATTGCTACTCCAACAGACTTACACTCTGTTTATCTCAAATCAATGCCTGAGACTGTGGCCCTTACAAGGTCAAATTTTGATCAATTCAGATGTCCCTAATTTGTCCATAAGATACAGCTATCTATATGAAGAAATCTAAATTTGGCAGAAATTGTCGCTACTAACTCCTACAGGGTGCCAGGGTGTATAGCTCTATTCTTTAGAACAATATAAAATAGACAAATTTGGAGAGAGAGAGAGAGAGAGAGAGAGAGAGAAATGGGGTTTAACATCCACTCGATACAAACTAAGTCATTTCTAGGTCATTTCGGGACTAACATATGGTTTAATTTTATTTCAATAATTCGCTTGCGCGTAGGGGGCGTTAGCATTGGGAGGAAACCACGCCAGTTGACTCAATGACAGGCCTAATGATACAGCGCACATGTGCTAACCATTCGGCCCCTGCTTAGTCCATTCTACATGATTTCTTAAAAGTTATTTTATGGTTTGTGCATCAACTTTTTTTAATTACTTCTGCATTGTCTTGTGAGACATTTTTTTTTTGTTCATTACAAATTTCGTTCAAAAACATAGAATACATAACTCATGTACTTACACAACGCGTGTATTAATTTTAAATTGTGTATATTTTGTTTTAAATATCTGATATCAGGATCCCATAATTTCAAAGTAAAATAACAACATCAATATTGATTGAAGTGGTCCAATACTGAATTATATTTGGTGTTTTTAATTTTGAATGTTATGGATAACATTGAGTTAGAAGTTTAGTTCCTTTAAAGCCACTGATCATCATTTGAAGAATTTAAATCCCTTGCAAACTACAATATTGTAAATGGACTGAAATGGAGTTTAATGTCCTACAGTGTGCCATAAGGGAAATTTTGCCAATTTGGAAAAAGAGAGAGAAATGGGGTTAGCGTCCACTAGACAAAAACTAGGTCATTTCGGGACGAAAATCTGGTTCAATTTTATTTCAATAATCCGCTTGCCGGTAGGGGATTTAGCAGTGAGAGGAAACCGGGGGACCTGGAGAAAACCCACGAGGTTTGTCAGGCGACCCTACTCCTTGTCACGTACAACCAGGGAGTTGACTCAATGACAGACCATATGATACAACCATTCGGTCATCCATCCCCCAACAGGGTCTTGAATTTCCATCCCATTAGAATGACTAGATGCTGTTCCTTACTAGGCCCTCTGTCACTCAACAATCACAGGGGGTAATCATGCTGAAAATTCTACAAAATTGGAAAAGTTATATCTCTAAAAATTATTCATTTCCATTCAGTATTTACAAAATTTTGCAACAATCAGTATCCTCTGCAAATGATACAAACAAACTGAATATGACAGATATTTTTTCCATATCTTAATGTTCAATAACCAATTTTAGCACAGTTAGTGTGGATAAACTGTATTAGATATCGTCTGAAAAATGCATAGTCGCATCAGTAACTTTAAAGTGGGTATTTTGAAATTAAGAGTAAAAACGGAAACAATTAAATATAAATCAGTTTACATGTATATACATTCATATTACATTATTATATGCGTTGCGACCCATTTGTGTCAATTTCTAGGTCCCAAATATTTGCCATTTAGCTCCTTTAAAACAAAGTCAAAATTTCAACGGTATTAGACGGTACATCACGGCATAAGCCTGGTAGCCTAATAATACATGCATCCAATAAACAATTCCATAACTGAACTTTACAATGGTTTCCTTAACTCACTACTCGAAAACTTCATTACCCTATATCCTCAAGCTAAAGTTAACTTGAACACCAAAGCTAATGAAGTGTTTTTTTTAATCTTAAAAAAAACCCCGAGAATTCAGGAGAAGTTTGATAGATTACAACCGTCAAACCAATGCCAGCCATTAATGAAAAGCCTTCTGGTAGAACAAATTTCTTTGTTAAACTAACACAAAACGTTGTCAGCAAAGCCAGTTGTTTCTTTTTACAATATTTGTTGATTGAGATCTATGCATTCATGTCTCCCACTCTTGTAGCTTTTCCATAACAAAAAAATATTACAATAATAAAAATAACCAGCGGTTGCCAGGCAAGATACATCCACATTTTTCAAAAAGATGGATAGAGAACAAGCTAAAAAAAACAAATGTGATTTTTGCGTACCATCAGGGGCCATAATCCAGGAAGTTATCCAAAGGGAAAGGGGATGAGATCATCGGGATATAAAGATATATTTACAATTTCATCAAAATTGGACAAAAATTGTGACCTCTAGAGGGTCCACAACCTTTGTATTACATACTTTGACACTATTTGTGTGACCGAAGGACTGACGGAGGCGATGACAATATAGTACATCATGTAATAATGTCTCAAGAGTTCTTTTCCAAAATAAGATAAACACTCTAAATAGAAACATTCCTGTTTGAAAAGCATTAAAATATTCCTTGCACATAAAGTTAAATATGTATTTATCTAAAAGCACAGTACAAATGAATTATTGTGATATTAATACATAATTAAATTATACAATTAACAATTTGTCTTTCTCAAAGACACCTGCCAATCAGGTGGTGCTTATTGAGTTTTGAAAAAAGAGCTCTTCTTTTCTGCCTTATAAATTGTTTCGAATGCATTTAGTAATTAAAATTGAATATGTACACAGGTAACAATTCTATGGAATGCAATTAATGCTTATTATTGGGTGACATTTCAGCTTTATAAAGACTAGAGAAGCCTAGTCGAAACGTCTCTAAAAATAAGCAGTGTATAGAATTGATCGGTTTTTTTTTCTCCAGAGCCATTACTGCTCTTGTAGTATTCATCACAAGCAGCTCTGAACATTTCAAAACATCTAATGTAATTTAAAGTAGCTAAGTCTCTAACTCAATATCATCCAAACTCTTCAACATTGAAAACAGGAATTATTTGTCAAGTTAAATCAACATTGATGGTGTGATCCAAAGTCTTCGAAATTGAAAACACAAATTATTTGTCAATTTATTAAATAAACATTGATGGTGTGATCTTACAGGGAAAAGATATCCAATATTTAAGACAAAAAAAACCTCTTACCATTGGTACACGAATGGTGTACCATAATGCGTTTCAGCGCCCTTTGCAAGAAGGGACTCGAAAAACAAGGCTAGATATATTCCACGGGTCATGTCAAATGGTGACGCCATATTCTTATCTAAAGAGCATGTGCAATAAATACTATCGGTGTAACCGGATGCTAGAGATTGCCCTTCGATTGAGACTTCTGGCATATTTCGCTGAGCATAACTGATTTGAAAAAGAGTAAAAACAGAAACGATTGAATGTAAATCAGTTTATATACATTCATATTACATTATTATATGCGTTGCGATCCATTTGTGTCAATTTCTAGGTTCCAAATATTAGCGTTTTAGCTCCTTTAAGTTATTTATATTCGAAAGAAAGAGACCGTTAAAGTCCTACCTGAGCATGTTTTTCCATCTTTATTGAGGTAGTATCCTTCACGACATACACAGAAGAAACCTTGATGGTTTATGTTTTCACAATCGTGTTGACATGGATTAGATACAGCACAATCACCTGAAATAAAATTATGATAAAAACTCAATAAAAGTGAATATTATGTACAGTACAAACCACCTTGCTGTGCAAGCTTTAAAAAAAGGAAGATGCTGAATTGAAAGAGAGCGGCAGGAAGAATACTGTCATATCTTGCAGTGTTTCGTTTGATTAGACCTAATCTCACTCAAACACTGCCAAACTCAGCACAAATTTCTGTCCCAAATTATGACTGGTTAACAGTCCGATCAACAACCAGTACATAATGACGTAATAAAATCAATTGGGATCAACCAGCTGAGCTCTAAATATGTTACCGTAAAGTCTCTAGTGACGTTACATCAAAACACGCGAAATGTATTACGCTCAATTAACTAGTACATACCAGAAACTAATTGTCTGATAAACGAGGCTATCCAAAATAGCTACAATATGAACATTACGTCAGAACGCGCGAAATGTATTACGCTCAATTAACTAGTACATAACAGAATATTGCAGAGAAACTAATTGTGTGATACATGTAAACGAAGTTATCCAAAATAGCTACATGTAAACATTTGGTAATCGCTGCGCATGTAGAATCTTTTTATTTTTATCATCTCTTGGACCACAGAGCAGATCAAAGAGAAGGACTGTCATGTTTTCATGTTACGTATTGTGTTTTAACAAATTGGACAGATATACGACATGTGCTTTTTTGAAAAAATAAATAATTCACGGATTTTCAACACAAAAATTGATAAATATTATCAAACATTTAAAGGTAAGCAGTAATAATTGGTACATGTTTATAGAATTTATATTGGAGATTCCAGTCAAAGAGTTTTTGTTCCAATAGCGAGTTTCAGCGACAGCCATATTTACCTATGCGACTATCGATGTTTATTCCCGATGCATCCAAGGGTAAAATTTTTCTTTATATCAGCACTAACAAACACTAGGATTTTTTTTTAAAGGGGTCACCCCAGGTAAGTCATGAAAATTCCCTTTATTTTACTCAGGAGAGAGTTGATTGGACAATGAGAATGGACAAGCTCCACACTGTATGCAGAACAGGTCAGTCTCTGCAACCAAAAGGTTATAACAGTGTGATTCCCAGAATGTCTGACTTAATTCTTTATCTTTGCTTTCTAGCTATATAGTCTACCTGATGACTGTAAAAGTTCAGATTTAATTTGTTAAAGGTTGACAGATCCAGGTCATTACTCACAGGTTCTATAAATCGGACTTAGCATGGATTTCTGCAGACTTAAACATACAATATGCAAGAGCTAATAAATCTGCCTATTGCAGGTCTTTCTCTAGGCCTGAAATGTTATTTAAATTATTAATTAGACATTAATTAACTTATCCAGACCATAATCAACTCTCGATGTCAATGCTAGCCTGCGATATTTATTGAATTATGATCCAATTTGCTCCTCAACTTTCATTCATGATTTAATCATGAACTGGTTAATCGAGACAATGTTTTTAAGCGTAATGATGATCGAGGCTAGGCGAAAATTTCAATCGCTTAATTCTCTGTTCATAGTGGATCAATTTGACTGAAATTTTCAGCAAATTGCCTTTACATTATCTAGTTTTTAACTATCATAGTAAGAACTGCCAGCTCTTTATCTAATCTCCCATAATGTATCTCTACGTTAGTTTAGTTAGTTCTATCTACTGAATCTATGACCTAAGTGTTTATATACATTCAGTTCCTAAAAAATCTATATCAAGTCTTACTTTAAAAATAAACCCATTTAAATGGAAGTTTTTCCATGCATATTTAAAAGCTTGGCGTTTTTACTGGATATTCTTATCACCAAACACGGAAAAAACATTTTCATGCCCAAGTTTTTTTTTTGTTTTTTGGCCTAAAATGGTTTAAACTTTGGAAATTAATTTTATAATTTGGCCAATCCAGATATCAATTTGTAGCAACATTGAGATATGTACCTTTCATCTCATTTAGCACTTTTTAAATGTGTTTTTTCTTCTGAAAAGATGCATTTCTAGTGCCAATATTTCTGGTTTAAACACATTTAGTATCATTTTAAATGAATAACGATATTTATGACAACCATAAATCTAACTTCAAATTGCACTTTAAGTCAGCTCTTTAATGTTAATAAATTTCAAGAAATGGTGGATGAACTAGCAAAATGATGCTCTGGTTTATGAATTTAGTTTTTATTGAATCTTCATTGATAGAGCATGAATAAATGATTTATGTTGTTTTGATACTTGCTTGCAGAATATCACTTTGAATTACCCAATGCACAAGTTTAAAATTTATAAATAACTCTTGGCTGTAATTTTCTTTGATGAGGATTAATATTAAAAGTCAACAGTATATATTGTTCTAACCCTCTCCTTGCCAACCAACTTTCCATGGCCTTGGGTTCAGACATTACCAACTATAATTCAAAATGAGACAATTAGAACTTTGACATTACAGCGTTTTATGTCACGGTATGTTTGATTACAAACTTTTCAATGAACATAAAATAGAATTGAACTAATACCCAACAGCTAAAGATGTTGAAAAAATGTTTGAAATGGAGAAATTCATTTGAAGAACTCTACTTGAACACAGACACATAACAATCTTATCAAGAAACATTATTGGATAATCACAGATAATTCTGATTAATCAATAGAGAACATGGGCTAATCTTATATCTCCTCTTATTATTAACAACAACACAATACACTCCATTTATTTTCTCTTTTACATTGATTTCCTCATCAACTATTATTCTTCTCACTGATACTACAAATTCTTTTCCCACATGCAATGTTATCATTGAGTCTTCTAAACGTTTTCTAATTTTATCTGCAATCATTAAATAAACCTGCTTGTAAATACTGATCTGTCAATAACAATCAGCAGGTTATTTTTTATCTAACTGGTTCACAGGTTGAAACAGTGCTTGACTTTTTAAACAGAAATAAAGCAACCAGCATTTGTTCACAAAATAGAAAATAATGACATTTATTCATAATTCTGTTCACCACATCCCGATTTTTTATACAGTTTCTCATTTGATATGTGAGGTTGTCTGCCAATTATTGTAAACAGTAACTACATGGAAGTCTTAAGAAACTCCATTGACTTAAGTGTGAATTATGATGGTGGATTGTAATTAATGCTACAAAATCTAACATATTAAACTTGACAGACTCTACTAAAGAGAAGTAACAGTAACACATACCCGGTATAGTTTTGAGACTTGTGAAAATACATGCAGAAATCTGACGTTATGTACAATTCATGAGTCTGGAACCAAATGGTTATAAGTTATAACTGTTTTCTGTAAAGACTCCTCCATTCACAGTTTCACTGGCATTTTTAAATTTCACAGGGCATCTGGGTTGAAGGATATTGGGACAAATACCTTACCTTTACAGTAAGCTTATATTACATGGTTATCCAGTCACTAATTCAGATGTCAAGATAATCACTTGAAAACTGGCTGTTCTTATTCTTAAATCACCAGAACACTTCTGATAGTAGCACATATGACTTGGATAAGTATTTGTAAAAGTCTTTCACATAGTGTTAAACAGTTTTAGTCACTCAAAATATATCTGGGACACCACCTTTAAGACTGGCTCTATTCAAGTTAATACTGTGATTAGTATTGATGACCTAATGTCAAATGAACCAAATCACAAAGAGAATTTCATGTTAGAGATTATGTACTAGGTAATTTATTTCTACAAGCAGAGTGAAACTACCAAAATAGAATCTCTTAATGGCAAAACTGGGAGTAATTCTGGATGCTACATGTATCAACCCCATGCTCCTACAATAATCACCAAATAATTATAGATTTAAATACAAGAGACCCAAGGGCCTTAAGTGCTCATTGGTTCATTAAAGATTTCTCTTATAGAGAATACTTTTATATCATAGTTGTTTCCTCAATTAAATAAATGAGACAATCAAACATTTTCAAAAACTTCATGATCGCAACAAAATTTTATTGAAACATTTAAAGTTACCAGAATAAGCCAAAACATGTTCTCTCAAGCAGCCCTTGCACTTAACCCCATAGGCCAAAGCAAGCACCAGTATTTGAAATAATCTGAATAAGCATATCTATCAATTTTGACCAGACAACATATCAAACTGTTACACTGGATGCAACAAAAACCTGCAGTTGACTGTTTACAAATTGATAATACAATTGAGGTTGCAATGAGATTATCTCTGCAGTAACACAGGCAGCATTGATAGAACATTCCAATTAGAAGTCAGGTCTATAAATGTGCTTTCTGAATCTAAGACCTTAAGTGTTCATATACATTCAGTTCCTAAAATATCTATATCAAGTCTCACTTTAAAAATAAACCCATTTAAATGGATGTTTTTTCATGCATATTTAAAAGCTTGGTGTTTTTACTGGATATTCTTATCACCAAACACGGAAAAGCAAAAGGACTAAAAGCTTTTAATCTAATTTCCATATCCTGCCTCATAAAATTGCAGGTTCACTAACTTGTGCAATCAAATAAAACTATAACCTTAGCGGAAACAAGATTCAGTGAAAATATTTATAAATTTTCCGCTGTAATACCCTTTTCAACATCAATACATTTGTGGTAAATTTTGAAGCCAATCTAATTGGCATAAATAATTGCAGAAATGTATCATAGACAGTTTGATGGACATGGCTCTAATAGTTATACAGGTTTTCTGCTACATGTATTCTGAGTCCAATTAGACAAATTTAGATCCTCCATGTACGTGTATAGCATAATTAAACTGACCCATTTAGACTTTTATTGATATAATAATGTATCAATTATTTGTTTATGTTGTCTTAGCCCACATCTATAACATACTTTCTCTTTATGTATTGAGTTAATTAATATGGATGAGACTTCTACTAACTGACAATTTTAACTTCAAAATGAAATTGAATCAACTCTGTAATCATGGTGTTTTGTCCTTTTGTGGTTAGACATATTTTTTTGTCTTATATGTTGTTTCTATGCTTTCACAAAAACATATTTTATGTTCA